CTCTCTCTCTCTCTCTCTCTCTCTCTCTCTCTCTCTCTCTCTCTCTCTCTCTCTCTCTCTCTCTCTCTCTCTCTCTCTCTCTCTCTCTCTCTCTCTCTCTCTCTCTCTCTCTCTCTTTTTTCACTCATTCGCTTGAAATGGTCGTTTCTTTCACAACCTAGCTGACCTGCCACATCGAAACCAATGGTGAAATGCACAGGAACATATCTAAGCAAAGCCAAACAGTTCCATCAGCCGCTCTTTTAAAAGGATGTGTAGCTGTCAGTAATGACTGATCCCTTCCACCCTCACCGGAGTAGAGTTTCTCCGCCACACTCGGGTCGTTTTCGTTGTTGCTCTGCTTCTCCGCAATTTGTCCTGCTTCTTGAGTAGTTTCTTCTCGCGTCTGCTAAGTTTCCTTTTAAAGTTGTCATCTCCGGCGCAGCATCTCTCGCAGGTTTCGCGGACTGTGGCGACAGCGGATGGCAAATACGTTACACTAAACGTGTGTGAAAAATCCGGGCATGTTCCTGTGTAGGTAAACGTTCAAACTTTCGTGTCAAATACTGCAGTTGGATCTTGGGTGAAGCAGGACAAATAATATCCGGTTGCGGGACGCTAAGAGACATCGCGTTGTCATTTGGCTTTATCCCACCGGCGTCATGCCTCCCTAACACGCCGTCGTGGAAGAATTTCAAAGCAAACATCCGTACTTGCTTAAATGCGCCGAGCGCCGAGCATCGAACTTTCTTGCAAGTGTCATCCCGCCATAATTTGTTTCCAACTGCGATTAACTTCAAAATAGCATGGTACCACCCACAATATTTCACCACCTTCGTACAAGCATGCCACAGGTTGGTCTAGACAAAGGGACCACTGTAGGGTCGTACCCCGTCAAGCACAGCGTTGTCCATACCGCAATGCGGTCTCACCCAGGTTTTTCGTCCAGGTTTCTGAGGAGGAAGCGTCCTCACGGTCGTCCTTGTTCCAGTTCAGCTGCACGTAAAGGGGCCTCTCGTCCCACTGCCAGCTCACGCTCCTCTGGAACAACATGTTGGCCACGTTGTCTCCACATATGCGTTCAGGAGCTGCACGCTACAGTAGGGGCCAGGTGAGCAAAACAGTCAGCGCGATTAAAACGACGGTGGCACGTTACAGTGTGTGGAGCGTGGTGTAATCTGTCTTTACCAGGCCACATCCTTTGACCAACGCCGCCGTTAGAGGCTGACAACTCCCTCTCAAACAGGAGGTACCGAGGTTCACCGCAGTCGCCAGGGCCCTAAATCCATTCCACTTCTCATCAGCAATGACCTTCCTGAGGTCAGCCGGTGCGAGCCGCGCGAGCCGACCCCCAAACCAGCGCCCCGACCGCCGGCGGGGCGGCGCCCGACCGTCACCACCCACCGCCACCTCGTGGATCTCGTAGACGGCGAACCGAGGCGTGGAGAGAGCATGCGCATGTCGGACGAAACTCTCGGCCAGCGCCACGATGACGTCGCCGGCCGTGGCCGTCGACGACACGCGGATGCACTTGGTGCATACCTTCTGGCCGAGTCCTGGTAGTAAAACCTGCGGCGGCGGCGTCCGGTCAGCCGATCGCTGGCGCCCATCTGTGCGCGGCACTGTCCACAGGTCAGATCCACGGGCCGCTGGCGCCCCATCTGTGCACGGCACTGTCACAGGTCAGATCACACCGGCCGCTGGCGCCCCATCTGTGCACGCACTGTCACAGGTCAGATCACACCGGCCGCTGGGCCCCATCTGTGCACGGCACTGTCACAGGTCAGATCCCACGGCCGCTGGCGCCCATTGTGCACGGCACTGTCACAGGTCAGATCCACCGGCCGCTGGCGCCCCATCTGTGCACGACACTGTCAAAGGTCAGATCCCACCGGCCGCTGGACGCGACACACAGTGTCGCGCCATTCGTGTGTGGCACTGTCACAGGTCAGATCCCGCTCACCGCTGGCGCCCGCTGGACGCGACACACGCCGGCGCGCCATCTGTGCGCGGCACTGTCACAGGTCAGATCCCATCCACCGCTGGCGCGACACGCGCTGGGGCCCCATCTGTGCACGGCACTGTCACAGGTCAGATCCCACCCACCGCTGGCGCGACACGCGCTGGCGCCCCATCTGTGCGCGGCACTGTCACAGGTCGGATTCCGCCGGCTCAGAACAATGGGGTGAGCTAGACGCGTAGCCACGACGGCGTGTCATTGCCGTGACGGGAGAGTACCCAGTGGCAACCGTACGGCATGACGACTAACGGCACGCACAGGTCTGCCAAGTTGACGGCTGTAGCCTGCCTCTCGCTTGAACACGGACCCGCACGCATAGTAACATGCGTGGGTTTACTCAATACATTACGAGAGGGCAGTGGCTTGATATAGGTACCGAGCCATATTACAACTACTAAGAGTTACGACCACCAGTGAGCCGGGACGAGCCCTGACAGATTGTGCCTCGGATCCGTATCCATCTAGCGAAGTCGGGTTCTACTTCCAAACCCGACATGAAACATAAAACGATACTGTGAATACGGCGACGATCCGAAATGCCTGAGGCAGTGACGGGGTACCAAAATTGTCGGTAGGGCTTTACAACGCCCTTAGCAGCTAAGGCCGTATGGCGCCACCCGCCTCTCACCCTGCCGGGGACGACGAGTACCGCGGACCCCGTACCTCTGGCTTCGCAGGCGCGCAGCTAAACACGCGCTCAGGTGACTGGATGAATACAACGCCGCTCAGGTGGGCAGGGGGTGGGGGTGGGGGTGGGGGGGGGGGAGGGGGAGGAAGGGCAATGTCATCCCTGATATTTCAAAAATAAAAGAGCTGAATACACTATATTTTGAGGAAATGTAGGCATGTATGTAAACTCACGTTTGTCCAATTTGGAGGTTGTTAGGTCATGACCCTCCGGGCGACTAGTGTCAAGCAAGGTTAAACTCCAGATCGGTGTCCGAAGTTCTTCCAGACCTCACTATGCAACCACGTTTAACCTGAATACCTCTACTAGGAAACAGGTCACTGGTGTTCACTTCAGGTCAGCTACCTTATTTGACCTTCAGAAGGTAACGGGAACCAAAAACCTGAAATTGGTTTTATTTTTCACATTAGATAAGCGTCGATTACGCCATGTGGTATGTCCCAGTAGCAATACCTTGACTGGGCCATTCTAGGTCACTGACCTCTTCTGATCTTTATGACATTCAAAAAACAACTTTGTTAACCTACCTGTGTTAAATAACTTCGAGATGAACGTCAAATACTACCCCACAAAGCAAAGTTTCCGATAAGACAGCAACTTGGTTCTGAATTACGTAAGTTGTTCAGCGCATTTGCAAGGAGCATTATTCACATAGATAAGACAGTAGTAATAGCCTTATTCCTCGAAGAAAAACCAGAGGCATGGAAATAAAGAAAGGCTCATATTCGGCAGCATGCCTTTATCGAAATAATAGCAATAGACTGCTGCTATGGTTTTGATAAAGGCATGTTGCGGAAAAATAACCCCATCTATATTTCCATTTTCCTGGTTTTCTCTGAGGAATAAGGCTTTTATTACTGTCTCAACTTGGTTTTGACTTCAACTTGATCTTCATACTTGACCCAAAGCTGATGCAATTAGTAGAAATCCTGAATTCGATTGTCCAGCTGTCAAGAGATCGTCTCAAGATGTACGGGTTCATCTAGCACCCTGCTCTTGCATCAGATTAAATGATGTTCCAGGGATTGCCTTCGCTGACAGCCATGAACTGACTTTGATTGCTATAAGTCAGCGACCTTACAAGGCAAATCTATTGGTTTAGTAAATGAATCAACTATTCAATTCGCTGCAGGTAAGAAAAGCTCGGTGCGGCTAAGCTGCGCAGTTCGAATTTATTTTGGAAAGCCTTCGGAGGGTCAAACTGCCCCCCACCCGAGTCCGTGTTAAGCAATGCACTACCGACATCCCCATGACGGCGTGCCCTGTGGGGGATGGCAAGGAAGGTGACATGTTTTTTCATGTTTCTTTGCATGAAACGCGACAGGGCTATCGCTCATCTGCATATTTCCATTAAACGCCGCAGGGCCGATTTGGGCTGCTGCCCCGCGGCTCTCCGCTCTCGCCAGCCTTGCCTTAAGAGACAGGCCAAACCACGTTTAGACAAAAAATCCTGTTTAGACACAACAGCCGTGTTCACAAAGCTTGAAAGCTTTGTGACAATGCAACAATGCAAGGTTCAGGAAATTACAGTTCCAAAGGGACAGCTTACGTCGTTCCCTTTCACACCACTTCATGTTTATGTGCTTGTCACGTGATAAGAAAGATGCAGGAGAAAGATAACACAAGCAGAAATGAAATTTCTTAAGTTGCCGGTGACCCAATCCCGAGTCATGGAGCTGCCAGCAATATCTTCTGACATATTACGTTCCAATTTTCAAACATTGCCGGCTTGCGGTGAAATATTGCATTCCTTACGTGACTGGGACATATTTGCGGGCAGTCATTTCGTGCACCGCACAAAGCCAGTCGCCAAGAGCCACTTACCGTCGGGTCAGCAGCAGGTCTCTCTCCACATCTCGACTACGAACGTGCTAATACTAACGTTTTTGGCCTCGCATTTTACGGACCATAACATGTCTGCCAAGTGCGGGACCACATGACCCGCCAAAATTGGTGTGATTTTGATCGCGAAATGCTTTTTGTACTTCCATCCCGAAAACAGACAAGTCAAAGACCAAAACCACCATGAAATAACTTTTTTGCATCAACGCAACCTTACCTGTCACGTTTGTCTCGCTGAAGCACCAATATAATATCGACATAGTACAGCGGACTTAAACAGGAAGTGAAAAACCTTGTGAAAAACAGCATTTAGAGCGGACTGTTACGTTTTGACGGTCCACCAACGTTGAGTCACAGTGTATGTACCAGATACTTCTTAGTTGTGGAGTAGAATAGAGCTACCGCGTGATGACGAAGAGACGCAGTGCGTGCGTGCGTGCGTGCGTGCGTGCGTGCGTGCGTGCGTGCGTGCGTGCGTGCGTGCGTGCGTGGTGCGTGCGTGCGTGTGCGTGCGTGGTGTGGTGTGTGTGGTGGGTGTGTGTGTGTGTGTGTGTGTGTGTGGTGTGTGTGTGTGTGTGTTGTCCTCATCTACATGGACCCTGCAACACCGCACATCTTAATTTTAAATATCACGGTAATTGGGGACACGCTACCCCCCTCCCCCTTGGGCCCGGGCGCCATCACGACACGCTTTCCTGTGTCCGCAGGTCAAGGGAACCCACTTCGATCGCTCAGACCTGGTAACGCCTGCATGCACCAGCTGCCACGGTCAGCGCGTGCAGCGCCGGTGTCGGAGCACCGCAATCCTGCGGAGGGCGGCGGCGCATACCCGGGCGGCCGTGGGAGCGCTGCGGCTGCCGTTCTCAGCGGCGGCCGGGCCGCACAGCGTGACCACGTGCCGGCCGCAGACAGCGGTCCGGCGGGCACGGCGGCTCCGGCGGCGGCCGTCGCAGCCACCCGGCTGGTGGATCAGGGCTGGCCCAGCGGCAGCGCTCAACACAACGGGCCGCCGGTCGGGACGGCGGGTAAAGATAGAGCTGGGCGGCTGCGACGGCGATGCGATTCAGGCGGGCACGGCAAGGAAGGGCAGGTCGACGGTGTCGTGAGGTGGTGCGGTACTTACCTCATCACATGGAACTCGAGCTGCTCGTTGGGCTCGGACAGCTCGAACAGATCCAGCCGGTTGGCGTTCCACTGGGCGATCACGTTGCTCAGATGGTCGCGCTGCCGGCCCAGGTCCGGCTCCATGGCCGACTCCTGGAACAGGCGCGGCGTGCTGTGTCACAGCCGAAGTGGGGCCGACCCTGTGACACCTACCGTGGTCAGCCTGGTGTCCATAGCCTACCGCAGCAACCACCGACATTCGACACCGACCCGCGACACCGGGTCACGCAGGATGCCCACTGGAGCTCGCAGACATTTCAGCTGGGAGACGCGGAGCGGGGAAATGACACATTGACAAGAATGCTGATATAGTGTCGACGGGCGTGGCACTCATTTATCATTACATTTCAGAACTGGGGCAAACAGTCTGCTATGTGGTTCTTTTCTTGCACATGCGTAAGACTTAAAACGCTTGAGGCATCTTGATAATTTTTCCATGGTAGGTTATTTAAGAAACACGCAATGGACGGTGCTGAACACACTTAACGAGGCCCTTTTATTTGATTCCAACGCTGTAGTTTGTCATGGGCAATAACACTATACACTAAAATACTACCATCATGAAGATAGTTGCGTCCTATTGAGCCAACTTCGTAGACAAATCTATCACAAATTGGAGAAAGCGGGAAACTTCATGGCGAAAAGAAAGGAATCACACAGCTCATGAAAATATGCTGGCACCTCGCACATTTGACTTATCAATTACTTTTATGTAGGTCCAAGCCCTCCAATCAAAAGTGCTGTTGCAAGCACGGGTGTTCAACCTCGAATGGAAACAGAGCATGTTTTTATTTGAATGACAGCGGTAATACCCTGGCACCGGCCGAGACTAAGCTACTCTGCTTGCTGGCCTTCTCCAGGTAACCATTCTCAGGCCCTCCGACCGGCCGACCTGCGGCCCATCCGCACCAGACCCTCCATAGTCATAAGCAAAACACTCCCGGAGTACGAGCTGATCAGTTGCTGCAAGGCACACACCCTCCATCGTACCGGAGACGTCCTGGCCACGCGATAGCGGCCCGCTGCCGACAAACCCGTATGGCCACGTGACGGTTAGTCGCGACCACGATAAATCCGCTCCCAATACCTTGTCATTGATTATTGATACCATGGTGCTGGTCCGTCGCTTGGGCTCATGTTTGGTTCTGGGTTATAAATATCTCCCGTTATAGAACTCCGTTCGTGGTTTTAAATATTTCCCGGTTATATAACTCCGTTCATAACTCAGCGCAAACGGCACCGAAATAGATATCCTCAGAACTCAACCAGACCGAGCATTTTTGCGATAAGCACGGAACAATTACAATGTAAAAGACATCTCTTTTCAGTCACATCTACCTTGGTTCCGTTCAGCTGCCTTAATGATCAGTTCCGGTTGTTGCAGCGAGGTAGCCTACCCCCATTCACCAGCAATGCTGGTGAAAATAGCTCCCGTTTGCCGAGGAATATAACAGCGCTTGACACCATAACGCTGGAACATTGTGAGTCGAGGGGGAAGGTTCGGCAGGGAAGGTTAGTTTCGCTGTTACGCATGCGCGACCAGTGCAGGTCTGCCAACTTGCGGACGTTTGGTATTACTATTTGGGTTCACTATGTTAGGTTTATTCTTACGAGGACATATTTATTCATAACGACCTGCGATCTGGGTCCATAGAGTTTTGCCCATTACGAGTGCATAGACCCTGGAGCGAAGCCAAAATTTCTGACGGAGTTGGAGCTGCCATGATTTGCAACGGATGGGGGCTCATTCTCATACGAGCGAGTTCCAGCCCCACCAACAGAAACCCACGCGCTTCGAACGGACTGACATACCCCACAATTGCTTAGAGGTACATTATCTAGCGCATCAATGAGCTATCGATGTTGGTTTGTCCTGGTGCCTTAAAGGGAGTGTTTCACTTTCGAAGGCACTGAAACAAATGTCAGATATGATCAAACAAGCTCACTATTTCAACCATATCAACCATTCATTATTATGGTATTCGAAGTCGTATTGGCATACTTACACCTAAATTTGCATCCTTTTAAGTGGAAAAGACCGATCTCGACAGCACAATTCTCTGCTCACCAATCCTCTGTTCTGTTTATCAGTTCTCACAATTATCTGTTTGTGTAACCATGACAGGATTTGAATGATGTTATTATGATGTCGTGAATGCCGAGACGACTTTGCAATACTCTACCCCATATACCTTTCCCATTTTCGCGGGCGTGTAGTTCAGAAACGAAAGGAGCTTAGATTCTAAAAAGGCAGGATGGTGAACAGCACCGAAAGGTCCTCAAGATGGCTGTTTTAATTCAAATTCTCATATAAATGTGGAACACTCCCTTTAAACAACTGCTTCACGTGCGCCCTGCACATATGCACTCAGCTATCCACAAGTCTTGTTGCTAAGTGACGGGACCACTGGACCCGCTGACAGTGACTGCACCCGCTGCCTTTCCTGATCAGGTCTGCTACAGGAGCTCACGGTATAGTGTGGTGATACCGGCGCCCTCAGTGCAGTGAACTGCGTGAACACCGTTCCTGATCGTTTTGCAGCACGATAAAGTTTACGAACTTGATAAATGGAGTTGTTTCTGAAGTGTCGTAGCGATGAGGGCAAAATAAACAAAGTGGTAGAATGAACCCATTATCACGTATCCTTTGTTGTTTTAGCGCGCGCCTGAAAGGCACTAAATGCTAACATGCTGCAAAAAAATGCGTCCTGAAAGGATCCGGACGCTTGCTTTTTGACAAACACTTCACACAGAATAACTGCGCACTACCTACGAGAGCGTGTTGTTCGGGGATGGTTTCCGCGCTCGACTCTTATTTCTACACCATTTCGGGCCGTTTGTATGAAATAAATTCGGGTCGTTTGTATGACACCAATTCGGGTCGTATAGCGACATAGAAGGTTTGCATTAAATGATCAACAATCTAAATCAGTGCTCCAAAACCCATTCCTGGTAGGGTGTGCGGATGTAAAAAAAAAGCTTGAAAGGATGTCGATATTTGGTATCAAAAGCAACCCTTAATACACCGAATTCGCCGTTGAAAGGATAGAATCTAAACAGAAAACATAGGGACGTCCGTATTTGTCGTCGAACTTCTTGTAAATAGTCAGGTATTCAATAGGCACCAGAGGTCCTTCCGGACGGAAAAGCATTTGTCGCTAATCCTGGCCCCCCATTTCCTTTCCAGACCACCCCGAAACACTATCGCATCCGTTTCTTCCTCTGAAAGACGGGTCGAATCCTAATCCTGAATCCTGGTCATCTTTGAAGAAGTGTTCACGATGCGCCATTTACACAAATGATATCCTGACAACGTTGTTCCCTCTTTCTCCTAGACGATAACACTCCTCTTTCTATTCGCTTACGACATTCATAACTCGCGTTCAGGTGATAAAGGGGCAAGTAACTGATAAATGCAACGATTCATTTATCAGGCACTAAATACCCAAGAAGGCGACACGTTTCAGCGCTGACCTTCAATTGGCGAGCACTGAATAATCGGCATGTGGCCAACATAACGCCCCTTCTTCGAAGAAAAATGTTTTACATACATAAAAGAGGGACTGAATAATCGGCGTTCACATAGACATAGTTTTGCGATCATCCTAAAACAACTCTCTCCTGTTAAAAGGAATATCAGCAGCCTTGACTGAATTATATTACAGCAGTGCCCATATGGCCAACATCAAATTTTACCAGATTGCTGGGGACTGTAGGAGCCTGATCCCTTCAGCTCCCACGCCCTGAATAACAACATTTTGGATCATTCAAAAATTATGTGATTACAGCAAGACAATATTATTCTTATTAACTTTACATCCTTCATTTGATGTCACTTAAACCAAGGTACATGCTGCCTACACAAAACACCAATGACGTACATATGACATGCATAATTTTGAAACATGTCTGAGGGGACGACTACTTAATGACACATAACAAAATGTACCGACAAAACCTGTTCACAAACGGATTTTCCGTGTCCAAAATTCTTCTAAAATTAGAGGGCACATATAGAAACCAAGTTGCGGGAGCACTCACCACTGCATGGAAAACTACACACCTATGATGTTGAAGTCAGTTAAAAAAATGGCATCCATACACATGGTTCACAGCCCGGCACTGACCTACACTTCGTAATCGTCCCATCCGTATTCATGGGTGTGTATGGTGCATTATGGTCCTTGAAGCTGGAGGGCCTCACCTGATTGCGTGCAAACGGCCTGGAAACATCCTTTAAGCAAATCATTCACCTAAATAACATGCATTCCTTAACACTAGGCTTTAGAAGAGTTAATCAAGGGCGCCACAGACGGGGAAAATTTGGGTTGTTTCGCCAACGTGCACGTTAAATAAATCAAACGCTATACCCCTCACCTATTCAACACTCCACACAAATCTATACGTCCGTTCAACGCGCGCCCCGCGTTTTTTTCCAGGTCGAATCCAGTGCTCCTAGATCAAAATTGTGTCGCGGAATCGGCATACTCAATTCACATCCCCTTGACAGCAGGACAGTAAAGTCAATGTAATGTCCCAAAACTCGCATAGAGTAACTTGACATTTCAAAGGCTTGTCGAAAACATTAACGCCTTCCTTTGATAACTAGTTTTATTCTTACAAATGACGGTCATTTAGCCAAAACAAGGCCACAGTGGAAGTTTACGCAGCGTAGCTTTAACGCTGCAGCAATGAATGGAAAATAGATACACCTTTCAATTACATAGCAAAGTTAGTACATTACTTGAACGGTTCTTATGCAACGTGGTTTATCATTTTAAAAATACAATTTTGGTATTTCAGCTGAAGCTAGCTCCAATTCAGTCATTTAAACCGCAAAGAGCAGCTTTAAAACGGGCCCCTGCTCATCAGAAAGTGACGTTGGAAACCACCAAAAATGCATGGAGTAACGAGAAAGGAAAATGCACACATAAAAACACGATCATTTTGAATCAAATTTTCTGGATTATACGACCAAGCTCCAAAGTATCGCTTCATATGCCTATGAACTTCATCCGTCCTTGCTGACAGACGTAAGCGAGTGCCGTGTCTGGGGCGGCAATCGCAATCTCGCTTCCGGCGAGGATAACGCTATAAGGGGCTAATCTGGTGCTCGTGTTACGATCCTGAGTTGTTTATTTTTGTATCTTATCTTGGTTTGAGGGTGGCTGGAGATCGACGGGTTGTGGACTAATCAAGACATGTTAGAACTAGACCGGTGCGTCTGATCAGAGCGGCATTTGTGGTTATATGACATTCCGACTGCCTGCAATTGTCTCCGAATAATTAGCACTCCTGTCATCATTACCTTGTGGTGTGAATGTCCCCATGACCCATGACGGCGTGGTGTAATAGAACATTTCAATGCCGTTGGATATGCCATTAGCCTGTAAATTGCAGCTCCCAGCCTCATTCCATGCTGATGGAAGCTGTCAGTGCCTGCTGCATTATTGTCATCAAATATTGTTCAGTTCTAGCATGTTTTTGTGTGTGAGCCTATAATACACATTCTGTAGGCATGTGGCTCACTTCAATTCACTATGAACTAAAGGATACATATGGGCCTCGGGATTGTATTATGATGCACAGACCCAGGTCAGGTCAAATACAGACAGGATGAGACATGCAGGACGCTCAGTATGATAGTTCCAGAGAATAGGCATCGTCTTCTCCATTTCTGGTAGATGGCATTTTGCCGGATGCAGGATATGATGAAGGATGGGCCCCAGTTCTTCCGTTGGGTCACCTGAAACATAAAGTCAGATTGCAGCTATTGAATGCACCAC